TTGAGATATTTTATTTTAAAGTTTTAAAAAATTTTACTTAGAAACAATTTGCTTGGTTTCTACTGGCAGCCCCCCATATTGTGCCAGGAAATCACCGTTAAGCAGTTATGTACGTGCAGCATAGCGCTGGCCGGTGGTTTCCTGCCTGTGTAATACAGGCCGGCCGTTAATATGAACTGAAATGGGATATGCTCCCAGAAACAGCAATAATATTGCGCCGAGAGATAAGTTTGTGTAGCTTAGTGCTGACCCACCTGCACCAGCAGTTATATAGAACTTGACCCACCCACATAATACGGGCTGGCTGTCAGTATAAGCGTGTTGATATATGAGAATGACGGATTTCTTTGGGAGGGAGGGTTGGGTCGCGAATTGTAGTCTGTTGCAGCTGAGTGAGCAATCGTTGGCATAATGCCAGCTTGCATTTCCCACAGATTTATCTTTATTCTCATTGTCACCTTTATTAAGTTAGTAATTACTGTAAGTGGAAGGTCGTTCAAATCATACTCACCTTCTTTGATTATCAGGCCGGACTTGTTCCACAACGCGCATCACCATGATTAGCATCTTTTCGATCCGTTGACTTTACGTCAACTTGAAGATCAGAAATTAAAACTTGATTATTCAGTATTTAATTCAAAATGTCGTAATTATGAAGTAACTTTATTTCAGAATGTATAATCGATCATATTTGATAATAATGTTGTAATAAGAAATTACTTTAATTCAGTAGATGTCATTATGTCATAAATAAGAATTTATTATTCCAAATCGGCAAAATACTGTACATCGAAAATGTCTATTAAGAAGTTACTTTATTTAGAAACATTGTAATTTTATAATTAAGAATTATTAGAACTTTCGAATGCGCATTCATTCAGTACTTCAAAATATTGTAATAGTAATTAGGAAAATATGTATGTTTGTGCTTAATTTAAAATTATCAAGAATTGGATCAGAATGCGAACTCAGTAAAAATCGAAATTATAGGTTTTTGCTTGGTGACACTCATACTGGTTATTAATTCATAGATCAAATTACAAATAAATGATGACAATAATCATGCAAACGATCAAATGTCATAATAATTACATATTATATGATCACCAAAGAGTGCCCCAAAACCACAAATTCAAATGATACAATGTTGTAATTTGGAAAATAACTTTAATAAGTAACTTTAATTCAAAGTTTTCCCACATTCTGATCATGGTTTTTGCATATAGCCAATCAAAACCAGTAAAATACATAAATCCAAAATTCTTACAGTTTTTTTAGATTTTTAGATACTAACACTAATATGTACGTGTGCCCAACCCAAAATGATAAAGTGCACAAACTCGAAATTCCCACACTGATCACGGTTTTTTGAATATGGCCAATCAAAAATGTTAAAGCGCACAAACCCAAAATTAAAGTATATAGATTATTATGTAATGTGGGCAGTCATTAACTAATCAAAATCGAGTGATAATTTTGACTATCTTTTGAGGTTTTATGTGATGCTGTGAACGAAGTCACGTAGCATCCATTTGTCACGAGATGAGAACTGGGTCCCATACCTGGGACTGATGTGCGGTAATAATGATGTATTGATGTCAAGCTGGATCTAAGTATTTCAGGTGATGTATCAATATATTCATTTTGTGGGAATGATATATTGTGTGAGAATGTTTAAGAGGTTTGAGTAAGTATGAGATCATGGTAGCTGGCCTTTTTAAAGGGAGAAAGTCAGAGTTTTGTTCTCTATCTTTTGTCTTTGTTGCTAGCTCGATGCGATGCAAGTCCAGCTCTGTCATTTGTACTACGTGTCTTGAGCAAAGTTAGATTTAGCTTTAATAATATAAACGAATTGAATAGTTTCAGATAAGCACAAATAAAGTAAATTAAATAAATAAATAAAATAAAGAAACCTTAAAAACTCTTTTTTGGGCCGTGTGAATTTTTTTGTTTTTTAAACAATGGTGTTAGTGGAGGACAAAAATAATCTTCAAGAAGTGTTTCCGGCTTCGTTGACTGTTGATAGTGTTTTGGGAGAAGATTTAGAAGAGATAACTCAGCAGGGCCTGATTAGTACTTTGGGTCATTTACTAGTAAAAACTTTGTGTTTGTTGTGTAGTGGCGAAGGTTTGTCAGAAACAGGGTCTAAGAAGGAGCTAGTGGAGAGATTGGTGGGAAATGTGTTAAGTAAGGCGAAAGGGAAAGGGAAACCAGGGGATGTTGGTCAAGATAAGAATGTATGGGATGGGAGGAATATTACATTAGAGGATATAAGTTGTGGAAGTGGGTTTGAAATGAGGATGGGTATGAATAAGGGTTTGGGTCAAAATCCCGACAAACAAAATCCAGACAGGTCATAATCCCGACAAAAAAATCCTGACAATCAAAAATCCCGAC